TCTGTGCTTTTTCTTGGAGATTTGCTCTTGACGATGGCCCTCAAATGTCGTGCTGAAGGGCTGTCTAGTGTTCCTAAGCACAGGAAGCCAGTGATGGGCCTCCCATGGGACAGGCTCGTGGTAGATGAGCTTCCTGCAGGCCTGAGTCATAGACGGTGCTGTTGGCTGGGAGCTCAACTCATGAGTCAACAGCCTGTAGGAAATCAGGGGTCTTTAGAGAGACACACAGAAAACAACGTTGTGCATTGACAGGTTCACAGACGTGTCACGACCAGAGGCTGCAGAGACCTGACCTGGCCCTTCCCCCAAGAGCACTGGTTCAGTCTTGCTCCTGTAGGGCCAGCCAAGAATTTATAGAACGTAACTCTTCCCAATAAGGAGAATCCACTGTAACACACTGGAGATGTTTTCAAACCTCTTTTAAAAATTATAGCCAAAGAGCAAGGAATTTCTCAGCTAATTGTTGGATTGTTATCTTTATTTTGAAAGGACAGAATTTTAACACCCTCTGCTAGGATGCGTATCTTTGATAGCCACTTATAAAAAAACTCAGCAAATTTGGGACAATTGTATTTCTGCCAAAGAAAATGTGTATGGTGGCACAGGCCCGGTGGCACAGTGGTTTACATCGCATGCTCTGCTTTGGTGGCCTGGGGTTCTCTGGTTCAGATCTTGGGTGTGGACCTACAGACGGCTTATGACGCCATGCTGTGGTGATGTCTCACGTGTGAAACAGAGGAAGATGGTCACGGATGTTAGCTCAGGGCCAATCTTCCTCAGCAAAGACAGGGGGCTTGGCAGTGGATGTTAGCTCAGGGTTAATCTTCCTCAAAAAGAAACATGGTGTGCAGAATACATAAATGAATGTCAAACAGTATTTGGCTCTGGGGAGGAAAGAGAGAGGAATGAGAACGGTGACTTCAATTGTGTCTGTAATATTTCTTGAACAATGAAGTCTAGAGAGTACGCTCCGTTCAATTGGAGCAAAGAGTGAATTGTTTGTGTGATCCTAGTGTCCTTTTAGCAACCTGAAAATGAATGTGTGACTGTAACTGAGATGAAATAACACTAGTGTCATATCTGACGATGTGCTGGCACACTTCCATCCTCTGATGGGAACGTCATGATTGGTTGGTGATGTCACTGAGGCCGTCATGAGGTCGGAGCACGCTGTTTACCACCTGTGGAGCTAGAGCCGGCTCGGTCACCAGCAGCAGAGCTTGAGGTCCCTCGACCTCCAAAGTTAGAGCCACCTAAAGCAGCAGATCTCACACCAGCTGTGGACCAGTGGCAGCTCTGACAGCAGCTGTGGAGCTCAGTGGGGGCCAGCTGCAGAAGTAGAGCTCACTCCAGCTCCGAAGCAGGAGCCCTTTCCATCGCTGGTTCCTGCACCAAATCTGGCCGCAAGGCCGAGTTCGAGTCAGTCTCAGAACTGGAGCCGTTTGAGAAGCAGCTCTGGCACTGTGACCTGGGACAGACCTCGCTCGAGCCCCAGATCAGGTGCGGCTCCTGGACCCCTTCCCCAGCCAGAGCTGGTGGGATCTTCAGCATCAGCCACGGCAGTGGCTCCCGCGCCACACCAGCTCCAGCAGCATCCTCGCGGCCAGCAACTAAGGCCCAGCCAGCTCCAGCTCCACCCCGGAGCGGCCCTCTCCTTGCCTGGGAGGGAAGTAGTTTACTTCTCCTTTATGTGTTGTGGGTTTTGATGTTTAATGTGTTCAAATTTAGATTTAGTAAAACTTAATGTTTTCGTCACTTCAAGGTGTAGAACGCAGGGCCATGAACTGGCTCCTCTCTGCTGTGCGCCGTCCCCACTCTGGAGCTCCCCATCGTTTCTGTCCCTCCAACAGAAGCCGTGTATCCATTAAGCAGCCATGCCCCGACCCCCACTTCCCTAGCTCCTGACGACCCCTTGTCTGCTTCCTGTCTCTGTGCCTTTCCCTCTCCCTGCTGTGGCCATGCTCAGCACAGCAGACTCTTCCTCTGCCCCTCCCCCAGCAAGATGAAGACCTCTGCTGATGCCAGTGTGCTCAGCGCCATAACCTCGCCGCCTACTGTGACTTTGTCCTGAAGAAGCCCACCTTCACCTTCACCGAGGAGGTGAGGTCAGGCATGGAGCCAGCTCCGCCCTCCCTCACATGAAGAGAAGGGACTCAATATTGCCAAGGTCACCTTCGCAAAAGTCTCTAGTGCTGTTCAGCCACTGGGCCACCCTCCCCAGGGTCTGACTAGCTGGGTAGCAAAGCAGTTACAGACGAGGGTGACAAAAACACAGTGGGCATCTTCTGTCCATGCTGCTGGCCCGGGCCACCAGGGAGCACCGTCACCCTGAACATCTCCTGCTGCAGGCAAGATATCGGCCAGTCACCAGGCTGTCCTGGCCTCCAATGGACCAATGGCAGCCTCAGGTGCCTTCGGCAGTCTGGGATCCAAAGGGCTAGCAGACCTTTGCCAAGGAATGCTGCCCATGGGCAGGAAGCCATGCCGAAGGAGGGGAGGGGGACACAGGAAACCAGACACACTAGCAGACTATTGTGGTCCACATGCGTGCTGGGGCGGCGACACACGTGTGCTGCCAGCAGGGCTGCTCTGTGTGCCTGGCCAGGGACAGGAGGCCCGGCTGCCCCGAGGGAGAGAGGCCTGGGAGCCCCTGAGGGCGGCCCCACCACACCCATGGGGGCAGGAGGCCAGGGCTGTGTCCATGCCGAGCAGGGCTGATGCAGTTCCTGCACAACCCTCACGGGACAGTTGGGGAGATGAGGCCAGGGGAAACAGGGACCAGCCCTGGGCCCACGAGGTGGGCAGAGTCCAGAGGAGAAGTGAGGCTTCCAGGCCCCTAGGCCAGCTCAAGCGTCCCAGGAGATTGGCTTTGGGAAGGAGAGCCCCTAAGATCCTGAGAGACCTCTGTCCACGCCCTCCCATTGGGGGCCCTTTCCTTTGGGCATTAGCACATGGGCCCACACTCACACACACTCTGCCTGCCCAGGGCGGGCATCAGGAGGGGAGTGCACACTGGGGAGGTGACAGCCGCAAAGAAGAAAGAGGTTGGAGGTGGCTCTGCCATGGCCCAGGGGTTTCCGGGCCCCTAGCAACATGCCCAGGACTATAGCATGAGGAGGAGAGATGCCTGACAAGGTCTGGGATCCTGTGTCCACCACTCTGGGCACCTGGATGTAGGATGTGACACCCCCCCCCCCCCCCCCCGCCCCACCCCCAGTATGGAAGGGGCCAGTGGATAGAAGGCATGAGGTTACTCCTCCATCAATTGGGGAGCCTAGAGGAGTGACTCCAAGGACCCCACAAGCTTGTAGAAGAGTCTATCGATCTCAGTTGTCCATCCATGACCCACCGTGCTCCGAGGCCTTGGACTGGGCCTTCTAGTCCCTCGAGGCCTTTCTGGGCAGAGGGCAGCCTGAGCTGTAGGTGGGCTGGGCACCTGGCTACTGCAGAACTTGGCAGAGCTATGGACCCCTCATCTGGAGAGCAGGACCGAGGCCATCCTTGTTGGAGCCTCGGGGTCCTCATTTGGACGTGGAGTGGAGTCAGTGCCCTGGCTGCGGTGAGGAGGCCTCGTGGGGAAAGTGCACACGCCAGGGCCAGTGCAGGGAGAGAGGGAGCAAGAGAGGCTTCACAGGTCCCTCACATCACCCCCGGAGCCTGTACGGCCTTCTCCTTTGCGCCCTGGGCCCTGCTGGAACCGCTGCCTCCAGGGCCTGGAACAAAGGTGTGTTTTTTCTCTCCTGCTGTCCTGCCTGTTGCTGCAATGCTGGACCTGACCACCAGGGGGTTTATTGCCACTTGTGCTCAGAGGAGTAACTGGAAGAGGGAAGGCACACTCAGTGGTCATTCTGGGGGTTCCCCTGGCCAAAGCAACAGGCACCTTTCGTGACTGGCATCCATGGCGACGATGGGAGTTGTTCAGAGGCGGAAGGGGGCTCTGAGATCATCCCCTTCTTTCAGCTGCTGTGGGCCTGCACTCACTCTGTGAAGGCGCAGTGTGAGCCTGGGGGCGGTTCTGAAAGCCCTCACACGATCCGTGTCCTATAGGAGCTCACCGCCTGCAGGGGGAAGGGACCAAGAGAGGAAAGCAAATCCATGTGGAAAAGATGCGCAGGTGCTAGAGGGCAATGAAGCAGGGTGCTGGAGGGAGGGCCTGCAGCCCTGAGGTGGGTCGAAAGTCCTCTGAGCGGACATTGGTGCCACGAGCAGAAGGACACGAAGAGCCAGCCCTGCACACAGCCGGGAGCAGTGTGCCAAGGGAAGCTCCGAGGGCCAGACACTCAGAGGCACAAGGGAATCTGGCCGAAGGAGGTGAGAAAGGAGCTAGAGTGGCTGCAGAGAGCCTGGGAGGAGAGGAGGCTGGAGGGGAGGAGGGCAGGGCCAGACTCAGGCCTGGAAGGAGCTCCTAGCTGTCTAGGCTGGGTGTGAGCATGACCCTAACTTGGTACTCCTAAGAACAAACAGGCACCACCTCCTCGTTTCTCTCCCAGGATCCAGGCTCAGCTCAGCTAGGAACCTCTGCCTCCAGGTCTCCCGGGAGGCTGAGGCTGCAGGCTCAACGGAGGCTAGAGGGGCGGGGGCTGTCTCGGACACCACTGCCCGACTATCGGCAGGACGCCATTTGGATGGATTTGGGAGTCTTTTCCGTCTGGGAGCCGGGACCCTCTGCTAGCTCTTTGCACGAGGGCCACCAAGCGCAGCTCCTAATATCTCGTCTTGCTTCTCCTGAACAACGGATCAGAGAGACAGAGAGAAACACCGAGAGAGACACAGACAGAAAGCCAGAGAGGAGAGACAGAGAGACAAAGAAGAAGAGATGGAAATGGGGAGAGAAAGAGACAGAGAAACATAGACCGGGAGAGACTGAGAGAGACAGAAAATGACACAGCCCCACAGAGAGACACAGAGGCCCAGAGAGATGCAGAGAGAGACAGAAAGAGAGAGAGATGGAGAGAGAATGAACACAGGAGAGAGGGCAGCAGGCAGAACTCCGTCTTGGAAGGGACATCCCATCCCTTTGCCATATTCTACTGGTTGGAACCCAGTTCATTCCCCGTGAGGAGGCGGGATCACATAAGATGTGTGGCTAGGGGGTGGGAACACTGGGAGCCATTCTGGGGTCTGCCATGCACATAGGCGGAGAGGAGGCTGTTGGACCTGAGTCTGAACCTAACAGGAGGCCCCGGAAGGTTGTGAGCCAGAGGGAGATGATGTCTGAACAGCATTTCATGACAACGCTCCCTGGGGACACTGGGAAACAGGCAGGAGGGGCAGTGCCTTTCCCAGATGCCAGAGCAGCCCCAGGTCTGTTGGAGTTTTCTTGTCTGTCCTGCCCAGCCCTTTGGGGAACCCTTCCCGTGCTAAGTCTGGGCAGGAGCTCCACGGGGTAGCGGCCCATGGGTTGACAGGCGCTAGAGGGGTTGATAGGTCTAGACACCTGAAGACACCCTTAGCAAGTAGGTACTAGAATGACACGCACTGCACAGATGGGGGCATGGGGAGGCCCTGAGAGGCACATGGCTGTCCAGGGGGACATCACTGGCAAGAAGGAGGAGCCAGGTCTGACCAGCTCTGTGTCCCCAACGCTGGCTTCTGACTCGAGCCAGGCCTCCTCGGGGTCGGTGGGTTGGGCTGTGTTGGTGCAGCTGTGGATGGCCGTGGTGTTGGGATGGAGGGTGAGAAGTCAGCGGCCCAGGGGGCCCTTAGGGAGGTCTTGTGTGAGCAGGAAGCCTAGGGAAGGGGTCCCCAGGCAGTGACCTCACTGGGCCCAAGACAACTTGGAACCCTGGTCTCTAGGCACCCAGCTCCTAGAGACAGCCCCCAATAGCTTGTCTAGAAGGAGCAGCATGTTTCTCTGCTGTCTGCCTATCTGCCGGGGCCGCAGTCTCAGCAGAGCCCGCAAGGAGTGCCCTGGACGTAAAGGCGGGCTCCTGTCCCGCTCGAGACGTCTCTGGACATTCGTGCGGAGGGACACAAAGGTAAGACAGGGACGCCCGGGGTGGGCCAATCCAGGCCAGGCCACCACTGTGGTCCCACTTGGACAGCCCTATGTCCCCTCCCTGGGTGTGTGTGTGTGTGTGTGTGTGTGTGTTAGTATGTGTGTGCATGTGTGTGTGTGTGCGTGTGGAAGGGTGGTTTGTGTGAGTGGACCACCGCGAGGAGGAGCAGGCTGATGAGGGGTTAGAAGCCTGGTGGGCCGGGCCCATTCTCACCCCAGCTCATGGCTGATTGGATGGGACGTGGGGTGGCGGGCAGCACCGTCTGCCCGAGGTTTCTCCCGAGCCCCTGAGGTCTATCTGTTTCATCCTGGGGAGAATTCTGCGCAGACACAGGGTGGTGCCTGATGTGGGGGCATTAGGTGCAGAGGGCAGAAGAAAGAGCAGGGGCAGCTGAGCAGGGCTCTGATGCTTCTGGGCTGGCTGTTGGTCACTGTCTTTGCAGAGGTCCACTCGGGACACGGAGTCCATCTCCCCGAGGGAGGAGAAGCTGTGGGGGAACACCAGAGCGGCAGGCATGGGGAAAAGGCTGGCATCTTCAGGGACTGTTGGACAAGGATCAGAGCCAGCACAGGCCCCAGCCCATATGCGGGGAGCACAATCACATTCAGCAGCTCCTGCACAAGGGCAGGAGACAAGCGGGGCCCCAGGACGGGAGCAGGGAGAGCCAGCCCCTCCTCAGGCTCGGGCAGGAGCCATGCAGCTGGCTGTCAGCGAACCACCTGAGCAGGGAGAGCCATCCCCTGCTCCAGCTCCTGCCAGGGCCCTGGGGCAGGCTGAAGTTGTCGCCAGGGAGCAGGGAGAGCCATCCCCTGCTCCAGATCCTCCTGGAGCCCTGGAGCCCACTCAGGCCCCAGCATTGTCCCCGGGAGAGCTCGCTCTCCAACCCCCGTCATCCCCAGCTCCTGACCCATCCCTTCCACCTTCTCACTCACCACGACCTCCCTTCCTCTCCCTGCTTCCCCTGTATGTCTGTTTAGCATTTTTTTCTTTTCATTTTGTCTCTTTGTTTGGTGTTTGTATAAAATCTGAAATAGATTTCTGTTTGAAGAACTCTGCGTTTTCTCCTTTTCAATGGTACGATTCCTGAGCATTAAGTGCAGTCCCAATGCTCGGTCTCCATCACCAATGTCCAGTTGCTGAACATTCCCTTCACCACAAGGGAAGCCTGTTCCCAAAGCGCTCATCCCCCATTCCTCCCTCGCTGCCTGACAACCCCTAATGTGTGTTCTGGCAGGTTTTGGTCAGTCTTTTCTGGATGGATCCGATAAGCAGTGTCATGCCATAGGTGGCCATCCTAGTCTGCTTCCATATTTTCAGAAGCACTGATCGATTTTTCATTTCCCTTTCTACTTGAATAGCATTTTTGCCAGCTGATAGGAAAGTCCCCATGGATTATGGATTAGATGCTTCAAATGAAGCCCTTTTATTATGTCAGGCTACAGACCGCTCTTCTAAGGGGGACACCAGAGCCACAAGCCACACAGAAGTGCCTGGTTCTTCCGTGGCCAAAACAAAAACAAGAAAAAGGGAGACAGCTGGAAAGACAAACCACAAACTCGAAAGCATTCCTCCTCAACCAAGGTGAGAGAAAGGTGCAACCTCCCTCTGGACCAAAAAACTCCTGAAAGTCGTTGTTTTCAAGGGACAGAGAGCAAACACACGCAATTCCCCCGAGAGGCGATACATAGGGACAGCATATGTCAAAGATGCTCGACCTCCCCCATGAGGGTGCGTGCAAACGGAAACACCGTGGAGACGGCATTGGTCACCACCAGACTGGCTGGTTTCTGGTTTGGTTGCGACCAGCCCTGGTGAGAATTTGGGGCAGCAGAGGCCCCCGCAGATCCCTGGAGAGCAGGGGGAAAGGACACTGCTCTCTGGGAGAATAGCCTGCGGGACCCATCCAAGTTCCCCAGGACCCCACCTTTGCTGGCAGTGCCAATGCCAGGAGTGTGGCCCACAGGAGGTCTTGCCCAAGGTTTCCAAGATCTCTTTTCAAGAGTAGTCATGACAGCAATGGTCGCAATAGCTGGGAGCTGGGAACACAACTCAGGTTCATGGAGAGGCAATGGGACCTGTGCGGCCCATCCACCAGAACATGGATATGTGACATCAACAGGGAGACAAACATCTATGAAAATGAATGTGCGTGTGAGAGAGAGACAGACAGAAGGAGACAGAATGAGAGCAACCGCGCCAGGGAGATATGCACCAAACTGTTCACGGGGCTCGCGACTTTCCAGTCTCTCATCTGCTCCCAGTGGGATGTTGAAACTTCTTAGAATGTGCGTGTATTCCTTTCCTAATTCTAAAAAGGTGAATATCACAGCTTCAATGAAATCCATTGATGATCCATCTTTGGAATAAAGTACATTCTTTAGTTTCTATTTTTGAAGATTTCTATTCCAAGACAATGAACGTTTATTGTAGTAAAAGAATGAATTTTAAGAGACTGAAGAATTAAGGAAGTGGCAACTCAGGAGTGCCCTTCACAGGTGGTCTTCACCTTTCCAGTCCTTTCCCTTGGTGTCCACGTGTGTGTGCGCGCGGGCGTGTGTGTGTGTGTGTGTGTGCCCGTGTGCCCATGCGCGGGGGTGCATGTGTGTGGGGTGATGCATGTTCACACCTGTGCTGCGTGTGTGCACATGGATATGCCGGTGTGTGCGTCAGAGTGCATGCATCCTGTGGGTGCTGAGTGCGGAGGCCTGCAGGGCGTGTGCTCCTCTGGATCTGATTTCTTCACGGGCGGACCCTGGTCAGACAACACTCTTCCTCTTGGATATCCCGGCATCCGAATTTCCAAATGGCCCCGATGTGGAACGTGCCCCCTTTCTGACTTTCCTCTCCCCTCCTCACGCTGATGGGAACATCAGCCTCCCTCAATCTCTGATCCTGGAGGACATATCTCCAGAGGGGGAGATTCTGGCGCATGACGTCAACACGGTGTTCCGCGGTTGGTCACTCTCTGACCTTCGAGGTCTCCTTCTCTGCTGTGAGCCTGTTTTGGGAAAGTGGGGATGCAGAGAGCCTGGGGCAGAGAACTCAGGGAGGGATGGAGAAGGACTGGCTGCTAGGATGCAGGTGAGGAAGGCACCAGGGGTGACCTGTGCAGCTGGAGGGCCCCCCTCCTGCCCGCCTGGTCCTGCTGCTGCCCTCATCCCTGGTCCCACCCTCCACCTCCCTAGCCCATTTTGGCCTCCCAATGCCCCTCCCGGCCTCTAACTCTCCTGAGCTGAGCAGCCTGACCTGCTGACCAGGACAGAGGATGAGGAGGGCCCGCACACTCCTGCCTGCTCTCTCTCCCTCCAAACCCCATCCTCCAGGCAGGAAAGCACATCTAGGGCAGTGCACAGAGTCACGGGGACCACCTCGAACATGCTCCGTCCAGGGGTCGTTCTCAGCTGCATGCGCAGGACCCGCTGAACCTCGTGTGAGCAGAAGGGACTTTGACAAGGTACGACGGAGGCCTCGTGGAAGGTGCCAGAGCTCTAAGCCTGGGGCTGGGGGCTTTAGAGAAGGTCATTGAGCCCAAAGCAGAGCTAGGGTCCTCTAGCAGTGATCCTTGCCTCAGGCTCTGTGCCAGCCCCTGGTCCACACAGCCAGCAGACTCTGCTTCTGGGAGGGAGGGGCTCTGCTTAGTGGGGACGAGGGAGAGAGCCCTGGGCGCCTTGAAAAGGGACTGCCATTCGAGCCTCGCTTTCCTCCCCTGTGCACTGGGCTGGCAGCCGACCTGCCGTGGTGGTGTGAGACAAGTTCACGGAGGCTGCACTTGGAGTGGCTGCTCCTTCGAAGAGCTCCACAGCTACTAGCTCCCATGATGAGGAATCCCAGGAGGAGAACTGGGCCGGGGGCCTGGATCCCACCCGGGCTGGCAGACCGTCATGGCACCGGATGGGGTGGAGAAAGTTATTCCAGAGGAACAAAGGAGTCAGAGCAAGTCGGGCATGCCTGGTGGGAGAACAGAGTGGGCAGAGGCCAAGGGCCCCAGGGGCTCTCCTGGGGGTGACGTCAGCAGGATAGGTTCCTGGGCACGACGAGCTCTGTCCAGGCCTCTGTTCGCCACATGAGCTGTCTCTCCGAATCCTCCTGGCAGCCCAGTGGGGCATGAGGGATTCTGGCCTTCATTTCACTGATGAGGAAAGCAAGGCTTAAAGAGACTGGGTCCCTCTGTGCCCAACAGAGGAGCAGAGCCAGGACTGGAAGCTAGTGCCTGTTAGACCCCATGGGCCCCCCTGACCAGGAACGACCTCTTTTCCCTAAAGTCCTGACAATCTTTGGTGCTGGTGCCCAGAGAGACCTCATCCTGCGGGGCGAGAGGGTGGTCCTGGTCCTCGGAGAGCCCACAGTGTCTGTGGCTGGCCAACCTGGTTACCACCCAAGCCCCAGGCAAATGGGATGGCCCTGGACCTCGAGTTCAATGAGGGCTGGAGGCCAGAATGGGGCAGGCCCCAGGAGAGACAGGAGCCCTGAGCTCCAGGAGGTTGCAATGTGGGACACTGGGCAGAATGACCCCGGGCCGGAGAGACAGGGGTCCTGGGCGATGCTCAGCCTTTCTCTAGCTGGCGACTGCAGGGGAGGGCCTGAGCCTCAGCTTCCCCATCTGCGCAGTGAGGAAATGACTGGGCCTCGTGACGGGCTCTTGGGAGACTCCGCTGAGGAAGGACTTGTGGATCTCTTGCCTGGTGTCCGGAGCGCATTGGGAACCACCTGCCAGGCTGTCACAGTGGTCCTCCTGGGTGCAGGGTCCGGGGAGTCCCTCCTCGGCTTCCCTCCTGCTGCCCTGTCCCCAGGAATAGCCAGCATTGCTTGAGGCGGAGTTGAAGAAGATCCAGGCGACTCTGTGTTGCAGGTGACAGGGGCTCAGAGCCAGAAGGACAGCTGGACACGTTCCATGCCGCTGTCCAGGGCCTGCCCTGTGACACCAGAGCCCTTCAGAAATCAAGTCTCCTCCTCAGTGGATCCCAGCTGCTGTGGCTTTAGGCACTCCCTCACTCATTCATCAAGGCTTTCATTGGCTCCTTCCTTCACTCACTCACTCACTCACTCACTCTCTCACTCACTCAGTCATTCACTCATTTCTACTCTCACTCCTAGTTTTCACTCATTCAGCCCAAATCCTCTGGTCCCTGCTGTGTACCCAGCAATGTGACCTCACCAGTGAGTGTGACCCGGCGTGACCCTTGTCCCCACGGTTCACATCTGCTGTGTGACGTGGAAGACGGCCATCCCTCGGGTGAGGGGGAGTGATGAGCACCAGGAATCCGCTTCTGAACAGAGAGGCCAGTCATGCACAGGAAAGAATGGAGAGAACGCGTGCACGGCTCCTCTGCTAGAAGAAGAAAAGAAGGAAAAGTTAGGACCAAGAAATATGCCCTATGTTGAACAAAACATGGGCTCTGATTGCAAGTGTGCATTGATTCCTAAGACCAACAAAGAAGAAATCCAGTGGATTGGGGCTTGGTGACACCATTTTTCTGACCAACGATGACATTTGAGGAAACATCTTCTAGGGCTCACACTTTCCTAAGGCCTCTTTGATCCCCTAGCACTTCAATCTTCCTCCTTGGAAGCCTCTGTCCTGGCCCCTCCTCGTCCAATGACTCTTCTTCTGCTGCTCGGGGGCCTGCCCTGCGGGGCCACGCTCATCCATCCGGGACTGTCCGCGTCATTGGGACAGGCTGCCCGCATTCCCCCCTGGGCCTCATGAGCTCCTGCTTCTTTTGCAAGGCTGGCACTTTCACTTCAGGATCACTTGGCGTCTTTCTTTGCAGTGGTTTGCATCATCACACACCGGGTCCCCCCTGATGACTCCATGAGGCAGGCCACTTGTCAGCATCTTCCAGGAGAGGAAGCTCAAGTCCCGAAGGCTGGACGACTTATCCAGAGGCACAGCTGGTGTGGCGCCTTGGCAGAATTGGGTTCCCATGCAGAGGAAGATGGAGGGGAAGCGGTTTGTTTGCAGGTCTTCCCAGGAAGCCCTAGGGAGGACGCGGGGAGTGAGCCTGGAGGAGGAAAGCCAGAGTGGGACCTGAAGAGCAAGCACCAGTGTGGTGAGCATCACTCTCCCTCCCAGCGGGAGACCAGGTCCTGCCTGCAGTGGCTCTGTCCCCTCAGGTGGAGGGATCACCCCAGGGCATTCCTGTCTCCTCGCTGCAGCCCACACAGCCTTGCAGGAGAGGAAGGGCCTGTGGGCAGGAGAGCCATCAGGCAGGGAGGAGGGATGCAGGCACTGCAGGGGGCCGCTATCAGTCTCCTGGGCACTGGCTCCCAGCTGCAGGGGCACTCAGGTGGGCTGAGGGAACAGGAGTGCGACCACAGCAGTGTCTGCAGCTGGGGTCTCCATACAGGTCCCGCCCTTCTGTCCAGAGAAAGACTC